GGTGGGACACAGGAGAGGGTGGTATGGGGCTTGGGCCAGCTCTGTTTCTCCCTCCACCCCATCTCTGCACCTGTGCCAGTCTTAGCTTCCCCTCAGGTCTCAGGGGGCAGCTACTGCTGCCCTGTGGTTGTCCCTACAGGGGCTGAGCATGGGAGGAACACTTCTTGAGGCCTGGCCTCTGTCACTGTGAGCCCATTTCTCCYGCAGGTGAGAGAAGACTGGAAGTGTGTTGCCATGGTCATCGACAGGATCTTCCTCTGGCTCTTCATCATCGTCTGCTTCCTGGGAACCCTGGGGCTCTTTCTGCCTCCGTTCCTGGCTGGAATGATCTGATGTCCCTTGTGTCGGCTCCAAGGCCGTCCTGCCAGCCAGCAATGACCACCTTTAACTGCAGCTCCCTCCAGAGTGCCCTCTGGGGCCAGCGCCATCTGCCTGCGGTGCTTCTGGGGGGAGAGCACCAGCTCTGAAGGTCTTCCTGGAGCACTGGCTGTGACGCTACTGCACCTAGTTCTGGGAATCTGCTGGACAGAAAGCCCAGTTTAGGAAGCAGAGGAGCTAGAATAGAAGGAGGACTCTGCCCTGCAGAGGGGTGGGACTAGCACAAGGAGAAACAATATGGCCTTGAGGGAGGGGCACAAGGGGGAAGGCGAGGCTGCCTCGGGGGTGGAGGGGCTATGAGCAATGGTCTAGATTTAGGAATGAGCCCCAAATTCCCAGGGGAACCCCCAGGCCAGGGTCGGGGAGGCTGGCAGTGCAGGTTGGGCTCTTTAAACCAGGCTGAGGAAGCACTTCAGTGTGAGTTTGCAGGGCTTGGAGGTGTGTGGTGTAGCAGCCAAGGAGCAAGGGACTTTACAGAAGGAGCGGGGAGCAGGTGTGTGGGGGGCCAGTGGAGCGGGGCCTTCCCCTCCACCCAAAGCACCTTCAGCACCCCCTGGGCTTCCCTGAGGCATTGTGCCTCCCTCTTCCTTGCAAAGAGGCAGCCAGAACGGAGAGCCGCCGCTGTGGGCGCCGTGTGCCCATGAACCTGCAGTGAACAAACCGGGAAGGCCATCGCTGGCTGTTCTTCCGCAGTGCCCTGGTCCCTGTAGTCTGCGGTCAGCACACCTCTCTGGAGTTGGGGATCTCTGCTTCAAGCCCCTTCAGTTCTGAACTCCTCCCAGCCAGGGACCCTTTAGTTTCTCTCTCCCTAGGACCTAGCACAGCACAGGGGGAGGGGCACCGGCACTCTGTGTTGTGTGTGGCAGAGGGGAAACACTGAACGTTTTGGGCTCCACGCCTGCTGGGTGATGCCAATGCCCTGGGGGTGTCCCTCCAGCCTGCCTTTCCTGTCCTCCCCAGAGCCTCGCCATGTCTGACCTGCTCTGGGCCATTCTGTGCAGCTTGTTCTTGCTCTGAGGAATGTGGAGCCCCATGGGTCAAGCCTCTCCTGAGCTCTGTCCAGCCCCTGAGGGCAGGACCTCAGCAGCCACCAGAGGTGTACACCAGGCTGTGCAGACAGTGTGGAGCCCCAGGCAGGAAGCAGAGTAGGGCAAACTGCTGACTTCCTTCTGTCTTGGGGTCCTATCCTTCTGAACCTCCTCCTCCTCAGCACACAACACTCCATCACACATCTGGAAAGACCTACCTACCTGTGACCCTGGCCCAGGCCCTGCTCCTCAGTTCTCTCTGAGACCCCCACTCAGTGGTCCTCTGGCCTGGCTCCTCCCTACTCCTGTGAATGTAGTAGCCCCCTCCCCCGCCCCCACTGTCTCTCTGTCTACCTGAGGCTCCCAGAGGTGATCTCCTGCTGCAGGGACATTCCCTGTGTTGTTCATGTCCCCTCTCCTGTCCATCCATCTCGCATGTGAGTAAAGTGGTTAAATAAAGCCAAGTCTGYTGCTCCTTCAGCTGTGTGACCCCCCCCCCCCAAAGCCCAAGTGCTCTGGGTGCAGCTGGAAGAGGGATGCCACATGGACGAAACTGCCCTGGGTCCCTCCTGGAAAGTGGCCCCTGAGTCAGGCACCCTATCGTCCAGTTGGGGCAAAAGGGCTGGAGCACACCTGTCCCACTGCCAGGCGCTTTCCTTGGCCACGGCCCAGGGTCAATCAGCCCTTGATCTGCACCCAAGAACAACACCATCCATCTCTTGCTGGGCTGTGGTTCATGGCCAGCCTCCTCCCACAAAGGGTACATCAAACCAACACCACAGTCCAACAAACCACAAAGCAAATGGTACGAGTTTAATTCAACCACAAATCTGATAGAAAGAAGGTAAAAGAAGGCTCAGCACAAACATTTGAGAAAGGAAGGGATCAGATGAGAAAAGGGGGGTGGGGAGAAGAGGAGGAGTAAGAAAAGGCAGGGAAGTAAAGGAAGAAAGAGAGGAGGTTGCCAGGGAGAGAGCAGATTGTGGTCCAAAGTCCAGTCCTGGCCGATGTCTCTCTGCTCCTTCCCTTGATACTTGGTGTGATAACAACACAGTGTCCTGTGCCAGAATTCCCAATCAGTTTGTTCTTGGACTGTGTCCCAGATTCCCCATCAGGAGGGAACCCAGCTGTCAGTCCAGACCAAACTCACATTAAATAAATTTGAATATACACTGTACAAGAAAGCCAGCCCATCCCCCATCTTATAAGCCTCCTGACCCCCCCAAATAAGGCCCTTCCCTGGCCCCTCTGTGCATCAGGGGATCCCCGAGGGCTGAAGAGGAAGGAGAAGAAATAGCTTGGCTCCCATATGGGCCCGCCATGTCCATGCATAAGCCATTTTGGCTGCTAGGGACACTACTGTGACCCCAATGAGGCTCCAGCACCCAGGCTGGGGTGGGAGGAGTAGCTGGCGGCAACAGTGACCTCTGAACCATGTGTGTCACACCCACCCTGCGTCCATATCCAGAGTCCCCTCCATCCAGCTGCAGCCTGAACAGCACAGTCTGGGGTGGGGCGGGGAGGGGGTCGTGCAAAGTGGTGAGGGAAGGACCCCTCCCCCAGGCCTTCCCTGAGAAGACCACGTGACCAAWGGCAAGGCAGGGGAGGTGCATGACGGGTGGGGGTGGAAGACGCAGGCGGGTGGCCCCCACCCTAGGTCACTCTGCAGGCGGGTGGGCCAGATTGGCCAGGACCTTGGCCTGGTCCACGGCATCCAGCAGGTTCTTGGCGTCCACGGCGAGGGTGTGGGAGGCCGTGAGCATCTGTCGCTTGCACTCCTCACTCAGGGAGGTGACGGCATTCTGCTGCGCCAGCCGCATCTTGTTGATGAGGTCGGCCAGGTCCTTGTTGAGCAGCTTCTGGGTCCCCTCAATCTGTAGGGAGAGCACACAGAGAGGCGGGGTGCTTGGCCGTGGGGAAGGGTACTGGCTGAGGTAGTCAGAAGTCCCCGGGGACAAGGTGGGTCTAGGCCTGGCTGAATCCAGCCCCCCATACAGATTGGAGTGGCATCCCAACCCCTAGCCAATCAGGTGTGAGCATGGCCTGACCCAGCCCCATGCGCCATCCGGTCACAGTAACAACCCTTCACACCACCAGCATTCAAGTGAACGGTCAGGGTCCGTGGGCCTGTGCTGTTTTGTAACTGTCTACTGTCAAATCAAAAGATCCGGGATTTTTCTTTTTTAACCACCAATTCCCAGAGCCTAACACACTGAGCACAGGAAACACAAGAGATGTTTGTTGAATGAGCCAGTGAGTACACTGTCATCCCTAGGATACGGAGCTATCACATCACACCTGACCTCTCCTCAGGAAATTGGCCCTGAAGCTGGCTAGGTCCCAGGTGGCCATCTCAACCCTCTGGTGGTACCTGCCTAGCTGGGGTGCCTCTGTGGGCTACTGCTGCCACCCAGAGGCAGGTTGAGAAATGTCCCAAATGTCCCTGCTCTGTCTTGCCTTGAGCAGGGATGGTTAGGGTGGTGATGGGATGGGCCACATGCCACATGGATCATGTGGCGGATGGCTGCCCTCGAGAGGCAGAGGATCCCAGGGCTCCATGGGAGGTCCACATTTGGTTTCCAGACGGACAATCGACAAATGTCCAGTGGCCCTGGATCAGCTTCTTACAGCTGCAGTAACAAATGACCACAAACCCAGCAGCTCCGAGCAGCACCGGTCATTCCCTGACAGTTCTGCAGGTCAGACTTCTGAGCGGGCCCAACGGGGCTAACACCAAGGTGCGGACTGGACTGCGTTCCTTCTAGAGCTGGGCAGGGTGTCCCCTGCCTTTCCCCATGTTGAAGCTGCACCTTTGGTTTCTGTCATCCCAGCCCTTCTCTGACCTTCCCCCCATTGCCCATTAATAAGGACACAGGCCCACTTGGATAATCCACATAATCTCTTCCTCTCCAGAGCCTCACACTGATCACATCCCCCAACCCCCTTTGGCCTTGTAAGATAACGCGTTCACAGGTCCCAGGGATCAGGCTAGGTCCCTGATGGCCATCACAGGGCTGTGTCAGCAGGACACTAGGATTCCCAAGGCTTCATTGACAGCTCAGGATTTCAATGACACATTCACCTTGACCTTGGTCCAGTGAGTAGATAAAGGATAAAGGGTGGGGAGGGGAGGCAGGCGTGCCCTCTTGCACATCCRCATTCAATGAGAACTCATGGCAATCTGAGACCCGGATAGGAAATTCACCCCAGAAGCTGGCCAGGCTCCTGGGGGCCTCTCRGCCCTCTGGTGGTGGCTGCCCACACCTGCTGTGCAGTCTCCTGATGGACAGAAATGGGGCTGTCCAGGTGGCCCAGGGGCCTCTGCTAGAAATGCGACTAGGAACAGGTGGAGGTACGGGGAGAAGGGACAGATTCGACACCATCTAGGATAGGACACCTACCTCTGTCCTCGAAGATGATGGCAAGGAGGGCAAGAGGTCATCCACACTCCCAATGAGCTTCCTCAGGGTCAGCCCCACGTTCTGAGGGAGGAAGGCACAGGGCAGTGGTTACCGCCTGCTGTTTTCTTTTCCAGAAAGCCCCGTTTGCTTTGGCCAAAGCACTTCTGGGGTTCCAGGACCAGCTTCCTTTTGACCATGGGTGGAGACACCACCCCATTCTTCAGGGGTGACAGCCCCACCTCCTCCGGTCCCCTTCCGCCTGGGCTCTCACCTTCACCACCACCACGTAGCCCTCGGGGGGCAGCTGGCAGAGCTCATTCTTGAGATCCAGCACTGCCCGCACCAGCTCCATGACATTGAGGTACACCAGGTCATCCGTCCGGTCCAGGTTGGCCGTGGGCTGGATGGACTAAGGACAAGAAGCAGAGGAGGCTTGGGGGACCTGGGAGGACCCTGCTACCACTGCTGTTCTTTYGTGGGTAGGCAACTCAGCCACCAGCCCTCCAGGAAGGACTCTTTTGTGGAGCAATAGTGACCTTTCCTGGGCGTGTATCCCTCCCTTCTGCCTCCAGGACAGTGGCTGTCCAGCCAGGGAGCCTAATCACGTTCTGGTGATGGCCTCACCAGACCCAGGGAACCATCACCTAGCCTTGAGGTCCAGGTTGGTCAGTGCCCCTCAGGTGATTCTAATGGGCAGCCAACATCGAGAACCACTGTTCTAGAGCAAAGAATACCAGTGGCCACCCAGGCTACTGCAAGGACAGGGCAGGGGGGCGGTGCCAGAAGCTCGAGGGAGGCTCAAGAGAGAAAGGGACCAGTCCTCCTCCCCCAGGGCTGCACCTATGAGCTTTCCTCTGGGTCAGGCAATGGGGACAGGAGCCTGGCTCTACCCCTGCTTCTACATGAACCAGCTGAGGTAGCCTGAGGCAASGCGCTTGTCTTTAAAGTCCATAGTCCTCAKTCCTGGGAATCCYCACTCCAATTCACATCCAGCCTTGGGGGAGCCAACACCTACCTGTGCCCCCAGTCGCGGTGGCTTCTGTGGGGGCCCCGTGAACTCCGCTGCAACGGGAAGGACAGTGAGTGAGTAAGTGGGTGGAGGGGTCTCAGCAGCTGGCCTTTTCCTTCATTCACGCTGATGATCAAGCAAAGCCCTCTCCTCTGCTACCAGGAGACTCGGGGGGTATTAGGCCCCAATCCCAGGAAGATGGCAGGGGAAGAGCATGCTGGCCTCCGTGGTTTGTATAGAAAGAAAAAAATCAAAGTCACAGCAGAGATGGGGYGACCTCATGGGAGTTCCAGCTCTGACGTGCTTCCTCCTTGATGGACACAGGCCCGAGGGACAGCAACACTCTGGCCTTGGCCACCCATGAAAAAGAAGCCTCACCCTCTGCAGGCAATGGGGGTCCATGGAGCCCCCACCCTGGTGTAGCAGCTGCTCATGGRTAGATTTGTGAGGATGCTATACTGATTTTCCTTGAGCATTTAGGGCTCAAAGAAATGAAATACCAGCAGAGCCTTGCTATTCACGCCCACTCTGATGAACAGACACACAGGCCCTGCGCAGCGGCTGGGAGGGAAAGTACAGGATGGAAGTCAGAACACCTGGCTCTGCTCACATCTCCGTCACCAAAGAGCCCTGCCCCCAGGACAGCACATCTGTATTCCCCCGGTCTCAATTTTCATCTGCAGAATAAGAGGGTTAGCTCTGAAGTCACCTGGAACCAGAGAGTCTAGGCTCACCCCTGAGCCATGTAATCAGCAGCTGGGTGACAATGGGCAAGTTATCAACCAGCCGGCGTCTCAGTTGCATCCTTTGTAAAATGGAGACACACCGCCCGTCTCTGAGTTGCTACAATACAAATGAGTTAATACTTGTGACTTGGACTGGTGCCTGGCCTGTGTTAAGTTCTCTGTGTCCCCTGTCCTTGTTCTTCTTATCATTATCATCAGCTCCTCCCCCTCCTTTCCCTGACTTCATACAGGCTTCTGGAGAGATCTCCTAGGCTTGGTCTCGTTCATCCCTTGGGCTTGGAGAAGACCTAAGAAGTGGGGGAGGTGGGTGGAGCTACTTAACCTTCCTCCACCAGGGTGAGGAGTGGAAAGGCSAGAATCACCCACTCTGCCAAATAAAGGCAGGCAGGAGATGAACGGAGAAGAGGACCGAGGAGGTGGGCGGAGCAGGGAGCAGCTCTCCACTCTGAGCTGACTCCCTTTGCACATGCCACATTAAAACAAGGCAAATAGATGGTTCTCAACATTGCAGGCATACTCTGCTGCCCCCTGCACAGGCAGTGGACAAAGATGGGGTACCCGGGTGGGGATTCCCCAAGGAAGGGCAGGAACACTCACTGTAGCCGGCCTCCTTCTCTGGGGTCTACAAGGAAAGAAGGGAAGAGAAGAGTCACTTCTACAGCTCTGGGGACCACCCACTGTCCCCCCTCCCTCACCCTGCTCCACAGTGTGATTAGAGACTATGGCCATGGGGTGGGAGGGTCCCAAGATGGGCAGCCCCAAGGAGGAGACAGGAAGGCCCAGGGACTGGTGATTCTTGAGGAGACAAGGCCTTCCCAGGCCATGGCTCTAAAAAGAGGCCTCTCCAGGTGACTTACCAATGGGGACTTATCGTTCATGTAAACCATAGGGTCCTGCAGAGGAGACCAAAGGCAACAACTTAGGGTTCTGGGACCAAAGACACCAGAATGCACGGCAGGCGTTTGTCCCAGCTAGTGGGAGGCGAAGAGGGCACGGGGAGAGCGGGGAAACCCCTCCCGGGCTCCGCACAGGCTCACCAAGGACTTCTCCTCCTGCCTCAGCCACTGGGAGTCTTCCAGCATCTGCTTCTGCTGCTTGTCCAGGATCTGCCGCATCTTGATCTTCTCAGCCTCCCACAGCTGCTGGGCCTCTTCTCTGCTGCTGGGTCGGATGAAGTCCTCCTCCTGGGAGGACAGCAGAGAGAAAGGAGAGATGCAATGAGCCCATCCCAGGCTTGGAGGAGGGACGGTCCCCAGAAGAGCCGCAGGGGAGCCACAAGCCTCGGCCTTGCAGCCACTTCTTTCTAGCTTGTTCCTAGCCTGGCAGCCCTATAGGCAGACAGTTATGATCAGGGCCTCACACACAGCCCCGGAGGCAGCAGAAATGATGAACCCCAGCACACACTGCTAAACATGCACCCACCGTACTCAAGCTGCGACGTGAACTGTCAATGACATTTTGCCATTATATTTTCTCGGTTGGCATTGGTGATGTTGCTGTCATTTAATAGATTTAGAAATGCAAAGCCAGCCTCTGGAAGCCCTTCGTTTTTTTTTCTCCACCTAAGTGCCATGTGGCAGTCCTGGAAGCTTCACGGGMCACAGGTGTGGCCTCCAGCTCCCTGGCACGCAGTCCCACTCAGCTTTGTTAAGGTAGCCRCCAGGGTTATCTAACCAAAGGCCGGAAGTGCAGGAGCTAGAGGCAGGATGAAGAAGGAAATTTAAAGAAGCAAAGCTCTGCAGATCTCAAGGCAAGTGCTTCCTCTCCCCAGCTTTATTAGCCTCACCCCRTTTTCACTCACCTGTGGGACTGCGGACCTACAGACYGAGCTGCTGAATGGAAAGCGCGGGTGTCTTTCTATTTTCCCTCCTCCTTTTTATGGTTCAATTGTGTAATTATCTGCTTAGTCCCTCCTACTACTCTGCTTTCCCCCTGCTGTACAGTGATCCCCTTGGCATCCGGGACAGAGGGAGAGTGCCAGGGGCATCCTTTTGAGTACTCCCCAGGGAGCCTTTGCCAGTGACAGGACTCAGCTATGACATGGAAGCCCATAGGCACTCCAGCTCCTGCTATAGTCCTCACAGCTCATGTGTTGGATGTTTAATCTCCTGCACAACAGCGTTGGGAGGTGGGGACTTTAAAAGACCACTAGGCCACGAGGGCTCTGCCCTCACGAGTGGGTCAGTGCCACCAGCAGGGGTGGGCTAGTGAGCACAGGAGGGGAGACTGACAGAATCACGAGTTAGGCCTCCTTCCCTCACTTTCCCATACTGTTTTTCGTCACATGGGTGATGCCTCTGCCAAGCTATGACACAGCAGGAAAACCCTCACCAGCTGTGGCCCTTGGTGCTGGGCATCCTAGCCTCCAGAACTGCAAGAGATGGATCTCTGTTCATCGTCCATCACCCAGTGCCCAGTGTCCTGTTCCAGCAGCACAAAATGAACTCAAACAGTTCCTTTCCTTCAAAGTGGCCAGTGCACACACAAATCACATAAAGAAAATTCTAGAAAAACTCTATATACTTTTAGAAAGCTACAATCCCTGCCAAGCCTCTCAAAATAGTTTCCCAGTACACCCTATAAAACAAACTTGAATATTACAATATAGTCTAAAAACAGCTGTATTGGRACAGTTTACCTAGAGTTCATTTAGCTTCAGTTACCAATCTTGATTTCTAATAATACCTTCCCAACAAGTTAGTTTTTTTGCTAAAATATTCCTTATTCAATGATCTATTCAGTATGTACTCATTAAGCAATACTGTGAAGCAGGCATAGAACTGGGTGCTGGGAGAACAGTGATTTTAAAATAGAAGATGTTCCTTTTCTCGTGGGGATCAGTAAACAACAGTTAGGCCAGGGTTGGGGCCAGACAATCAACCCTTTATTTCAAGGAAATTTCCTTGTAGGATGYAAAGCAGCCTCTGGCCTCCACCCTCTAGGTACCTGCAGCCCTTCCCACTGGGACAAACATGTCTCCAGACATTGCCAAGTGTCCCCGCAGAAGCAACACACCTCAGCTGAGGTTCACTGAGCTAGACCTCTTTAAAAGAAAACAGATTTCAGAATGTAAGGGTATTTTACAGCCCTGAGATTGCTGAATATATGATCTACTTCACAGAGACAGAGTGCTATRGTTTGGGCATTGTTTGCCTCCCAGGGTTCATGTGCTGGATGGAGGCTGGGTTCCATGTGGCAGTGCCGAGGTGTTGGAACCTCCAAAAGAAGTGGGGCCAGGTGGGACATAACTAGGCTGCAGGGGTGCCACTCTTACAAATGGTTTAATGCTCTCTCATGGGAGTGGGCCAGGTGTGGAAGGAGTGCATTGA